TACAACTTCGTTTTTAACATTTTTGGAAATTGCAGTTTCAAAATTGATATGTTAGGTAAAAAAGTTACAAGTGGGCAAAATTAATAATATAGTATTGACTGGATGCTTAAAAATTATGTAATACGAAGATTTCTCTTTCAGTTTAAAAGTAGTCTATATTATAAAATATAGTCTTGCTAATTTTTGTTTGTGTTAATTTTGTAATATAAATAGGGGTAAAAATGTAAAGCATGCAACACTGAATAAAATTATGTAAAGTATACAATTTATAAAATGATATTGGGAAAAAACAAAATATTAAAAAAGTTCAATGATATCTTATTCTACAAAAAAATTCAAATTCATGATTGAACAATATCACAATCTAAATAAAAATGTATAACAATCAATACGATAATATAAATCAATAAAATGTACAAATTATGCATTAATTGTATTATAAAAAATTGTTATTTTTATCTAATTAAAAAGAATGATATTTACACTTAAGTATTAAGAATTATATTGGGTGGTTGCATATGAAACTGCCCATTGGCAATAAATGGCGTTAAGTATATACTATTTCTTTGAATTGAAAGCTGGTAATACACATAATGCCAGGTCAGAGTCCCGCCAAAACGCCATAGGTTACTTTGTGTTAACATCATCTATTTTGATTGTGTTTACAATGGCAAGTTTTGTTCCAAATAAGTCACATTTGCGGAAAGTTATGCTTCATTACTTCTTCGCAAAGGAATCGCCCGCGGAAATGTATCGTTTGCTAGAGGAAGTGTATGCCGAACATGCTCCATCGAGTACAACGTGCAAAGAATGGTTTCGCCGCTTCCAAAGTGATGATTTCTCTATGGACAAGGACCGCGGAAAATCACCCAAAAAATTTGAGGATACAGAATTGGACGAAGACTCGAGTCAAACGCTGGTGGAGTTAATCGAAGTCTTAAATGTAGACAAATCACTGTATTTTCTTTTGCTCAAAAATGGATGGTTTCATATGCAACCACCTAATACTTAATTATTTCTTTAAAAAATCAAAGCAACATTCAATATATTCTATGCATAATATAAATTTATAAATATCAACAATTTAATTAAACTATTCTGAATAAAATTAAACATTTATATATTTCCACATTCTATTCATTTTAAAAATAAATGTAAAATATTTGTAACAAATATTAATTAACTGCAAACACAATTTGCAATTGAGAAAAATCATAATTAAAAAATTGAATGTGTTTAACTTTTGTAATTTCGTTTATAATGCTAAAATATAACTTTTCTCCTATTTGAATATGCATATTTTTCACTTACTACAAAACTTTAACTTGAGGTTAAAAACCAATATCAAATTTGTCAAATATACAATAATTGCAGTTTACAATTACATATAGTTATATGCAGTGAATACAATTATTATATATTATAAAGATATATTTTATGATAAAATGTATCACCTGTCTTTTTTCTTGATTTATTTATATCATCCTGAACAGTTTTATCTTTTGTCTTTAAAGCTGCGGAAGAATGCTGAGACATGTTTGACTTAACCTGGGATTTAGGCAGTGCTTTGAACTGATTAGCAAATGCCATTAATCGTTTCTTTGCTTGGACTTTTCCAAGTACTGGTTTCACTGTCTTTGGACTCTCCAATCTAGATGTATCACCATCGCTTGTTTGACCTTTGGTACTATCTGGGGTTTCTGGCATTTGTATGTCCAACAAGGAAATAGAGATATCTGGAGTTGGTTCTTCCAGAATATATGTATCTTTTGATTGAGAAGCATCTGTGCCATTTTTTTCTAGCATTACATAAAATGCTTATTTATTAAAAAATTATATCTAACAAAATCCTATAATGATAAAAAAATGAAACATGTTTCCTACCCAAAAGAGACGATATCCTTTCTTCTTCTGCCATTGATAGTTTTGATGTCTGCCAAAATTTTAATTATCTAAAAATCATATTTATACTTAAGATTTACAAGCATAGAAAATATAATAGATAATAGAAAATAATAATAGTATTATAAAAAATTACATTCAGCAGTAAAATTTTATGCGCATGCGGGCTATTCTGAAAAAATGTTACAAAGATTAAAAACAATATAAAAAAACATAGTTTTAAAACCAGAGAGCTGTATAAATGTATAATACGGATTGTAGAACCTGAATAGGCAATGTACATAGAATCATACTATACAATTAAATCATTTATGTACTACATAAAACAAATAAAACTTATTTCTTTGTAATTATGAAAAACAATTATAGAAAAACAATTATAGAAAAACAATTATAGAAAAACAATTATAGAAAAACAATTATAGAAAAATTATAAATGTTAAAGTTAGAAAGCGTTCACGATACATATTTAATACGGATTTGTTTGTATAAATCTAATATACAAGTAGCAAGTATGAATAGTTAGATTATGAAAAAATATAGTTAGATATGAAAAAATAACAATCACAATAAGAGGATGCCTACAATTTCTTATCGTCGACTGATATAACATTTACTGTGACTTGCAATTTAAATCACTAATATTCACGACAAAACTAGCGATATCGATATTAATACATTTTGTGAATTAAAATACGAACGTACAATCGGCGCATAAACGTATCTCATCCGTATGATTCCTACTTCTATCGAAGTCAAACGAAACTAGTATGTGAAATACAGCGGACATGTTGTTCAAACCATAACCATGGCATAAGAATGCACCAATGTACTAAGGCCTAGTTTACAACGTGCACTCAATACAAGTACTAATTAATAACTTTCTCTTTCTAATGAATTATCTTAGGACTGGTTTCACTAACGCCGATCACTTGCGATCACTTGATCGGCTGATTAATTTATCATTTTGATGTATATTTTATGTACTAAATGTACTAATTTAGTACGTCATTCTTTAAATACATTGCTGAAATTAAAGTAATTTAACAAAAAGTTACTATGCATAAGAGTTAATACGCATAAAGATGCCTTTTCATACTAAAGCGGAGAGCACAGACTCTTTCATAACGCATAACACGTAATGCATAAGAAAATGTACCAATCAAAGCTCTCCGTTTCCTTCCTTTCCATGAAATAAAGAATTCTGATTGATTGAATTTCTTATGCATTACATGTTATGCGTTATGCAAAAGTCTGTGCTCCCCGCTTAACGCTTGACATTCTCATTGGCTGCGTTCAGCAGACTCAACAGTTTTGCAACCGTTTTATGATTGTCTGCTGAGATAGGACCATTCTTCTAGATCTAAAAGTATGATCCAATTAGCGCGAAGGAAACTTACAACAGTTGCAAAACAAACGTTCTGCTGAACGCACCCATTGCACTTGGCTGCGTTTGGAAACGTCGTTCGGATGCTTAATGCTGGATTCACACTGCATCCGATTTTCGTCGTACGACGCT